ATATATATATATATATATATATATATATATCTTATGAAATTGACAAAGTCCAACAATTATTTTTATGTTTATACATTCTTTTTATAGATACGAATATTTAATTGAATGCTCTGTTAATAATAAACAGTATTATTGACATTTACCGGCATGAATGTCCCAGAAATTTTCATAGAAAATATACGTCAGGCTATATAGGATACAGGTTCGTTTCCGTCGGAGGACGCATATTTTCTATGAAAATTTCTCGGACATTCAGGCCGATAAATCTCATTAATACTGTTATTATAAACAGAACATTTACTTAAATACCTGTATCTATAAAAAGAACGTATAAACATAAAAAATGTCTTTATATATATATATATATATATATATATATATATATATATATATATATATATATATATATATATTACCTCACACCGATAGCATTACTCGGAGTTTCATGCACGATGCAATCTTCAGATGATGATTGATTCGCATGTATATGTAAAAAAATATTTTAGAGTTGTTAATATTAATTATTTATTTTTTATATTAAGTAAAAATGGAAGATTACTTTTTCTTTAAAAACAAAAAGGAATATACCGTAATTTACATTAAAATATACTCTGGATCAACGCATTTAAGCAGATATTTATTTTTATGCGTCCATGTAACCATGAATTCATTTCTTTCGTTTAAAAGGCTGTTTAAGTGTTATTTAAGTGCTTTAGGATAACTAATTTTTCAACACGACATAAGCTACATCTATTTACTTTCTCGTTGGAAGGTTTGGTTCTTTTTATAATATCCCTGTTGATAAAATGTTTATTACCATCATTCTTTAATTTCCAGATATATTTAGAGAGTGCAATGAGGTTTTTGTATTTTATATTGCTTAAAGTCATCCGATGATGGTAGTAACGATATTTCCAAGGATTTTCAGTGGAACCAAAATAAAATTTGACATCGTTACCGGAATGTATGCTAGCTTGGTATACAATATTATCAATTATACATTGACCGTTTAAAGGACAGATCATTTTTTTTCGTTATTTGCATTTATGTTTGCTTAGTTCTAAAGCTTTTATATATTTAATTTTATTATTATCAAATATTTCCTGAAGTTGGTAGATAGTCTATCTTGGACTAATTTATGTAAATTATTGAGATTTTCTGATTGTGGTTTGATTATTAATGACTTATCTATGGTTATATAGATATTTGGTATATGGTTTGTAATAACCATTATTCAAAGATAAGGTTACATCGATAAAGTTGATAATTTTAGCATTGGAGGTAGTGGTAATGTTTAGTTCGTGATCCTTGAAAAATTTTGGCAGTTCTTTCTCAATCGGTTTATATTTCGTGGACGCGTTTTACTCGGAGAATTATACCGTCATCTCTGTAGGGTCCGGTGTCCTTGATATCGAAAATAAATCGTAGTCGTCACAACAACAAAATTCCAATAAGCGGGATTTTTATACATATATATATATATATATATATATATATATATGTGTGTGTGTGTGTGTGTGTGTGTGTGTGTGTGTGTGTGTGTGTGTGTGTTTGTAACAAATTTTTTTGGAGTCGTGTATATATTTTTTAATTTTTTATATTAAGCATAAAGGGAGATTACGTACTCCTTTTTATTTTAGAACAATAACGTATTTCACAATAAAAAAATCTGGATCAATGTATTTAAACAGATATTTATTTTTATGCCTACGTGTAATCAACAATTTATTTCTCTTGTTTAATAAGATCGGGTTACTTAAATGTTTTAAAATAACTAATTTTTCAGCAAGACATAAATTACATCTATTTTGTTTCCCGTTCTTAGAGTTGGCTCTTGCCACAATATCCCAGATGATAAAACGTATATAACCATCATTCTTTAATTGCCAGAGATATTTAGAAAGAGCAGTGCTGTTTTTGTCATTTATATTGCCTAAATCATTCGATGATGGTTGGAACGAAATTTCCATGGATTTTCAGTAAAATCAAAATAAACTTTACCATTACCGGAACGTATGCTAGCCCGGCATACAATATTATCAGTCATACATTGGCCGTTTAATGGACAGATCTGTTGGGAATCAGCCATCCTGCCTCCCATCAGAATGGCTGATTCCCAACTCCTTGAGAGCGCATCGTTGCGCCTGCTTAGTCTCACTCTGTCCACTGACATTAGGTGGAATAAATACATTGAATCAATAGTTTCATCTACCGCAAGGAAAGTTGGTTCTCCGTGCCGTGCCAGAAGGTTTTTCTCGTCTGAGTTCATCCTTAAAATCTATGAATCAACCATCCGTCCTTGCATGGAAAATCCTTGTCTTATATGGTCTGGGGCTGCCGCTGTATGTCTCGAGATCCTCGACAAAATCCAGACACGAATATGCAAGATGATAGGCCCCGATCTGGCATCTCGTCTACAATCGCTATTCCACAGACGTGCCGTGGCCTCCCTTTCTTCTACAAGTATTTTCTCGGCAACTGTTCCGACGAGCTACTTTCGGTGGTCCCCGGATTACATGAATTTAAGCGAGCTATCAAGCTGACATATCTGTCCCACCCTTTCACTGTCAAAACGGTTAAATGTAACTGTCTATTCTACTCAAACAGCTTCTTCTCCCACACTTCCCGTCTGTGGAACTCCCTTCCCCTTACCTGCTTCACAGATGACTATAATCTTCAAATATTCAAGTGTATATGTATCTGAGCTTGTTCCCCGTCCTTCTCTGTATCCTTTCCTCAAACACGCCTCATTACTCTTGTTCTCAATACTTTGTAACCTCTTGGGTGCTAGTGGCACTCCCGCCTTGCATGGGGTGAATTGCCTTTAAAAAATTATATTTTTTCGGCAGTTACATTTATTTAACAAAATATTAACGTTGACTTTGTTGGAAATATATTTGTTTAATATAATGTTATGTTAGGATATTGATTTCTCGATGTTATTAACAGAGCTATAACTGATTTTACATTATTTTAGTTAAAAATATTTTTTAATGTTGGCGACTGATTAAGTGTGCTTATAAATTAAATTTAGGAAAAACTGTTGGATGCATGTTTAATATAATATTGTTATGTTGAGATATAGACCAAAAGTTAGATTAAAACATAATATTACGCTTACGGTGTTTCTGTTTATTTTTACCTTTTTTGTTTTTTAAAAATATATTTGGCATCTAAAATAAACAGGATTTATATATATATGTGTGCGTGTGTGTGTGTGTGTGTGTGTGTGTGTGTGCGTGTGTGTGTGTGTAAAAAAATTATTTTAGAATCCTGAATAGTAATTTTTTATTTTAAGCATAAAGGGAGGTTACTGGCTTTTTAAAAAGAAAATATAATTTACATTAAAATTAATCTGGATCAACGTGTTTCGGCAGATATATATTTTTATATCTATATGTAACCATCATTTCATTTCTCTTGTTTAAAAAGTTAGTTATTTAAGTGTTTCAAAATAGCTATTTTTTCAACAAGGCATAAATTACATCTATCGCCTTTGAAAGATTTGGTTTTAGCTACAATATCCTACATTCTTTAATTGCCAGAAATGTCTTGAGACAGCAGTGATGCTTATGTACTTTATATTGCCTAAATTCATTCGGTGATGGTAGAAACGAAATTCCCTAGGATTTTCAGTAGAACCAAAATAAAATTTGGCATCGTTACTGGAATGTATACTAGCTTGGTATACAATATTACCATTCATAGATTGGCCGTTTAAGGGACAGATCCTATTTTTTTTCGGAAGTTGCATTTATTTTTTAAAAAATAAATTTGTTGGATATGCATCTGTTTAATATATTGTTATGTTGGGATATAGATTAAAAGTTAGATTAAGCCATATAATGTTACGCTTCCGGTGTTTCTGTTTATTTTTACCTTTTTTTTGTTTTTTTTTTAATACTCTATATTTATTTTATGGTTGCTTAGTTCTAAGGCTTTTATAAACGGCCAATCTATGAATGGTAATATTGTATACCAAGCTAGCATACATTCCAGTAACGATGCCAAATTTTATTTTAGTTCTACTGAAAATCCTAGGAAATTTTATTATTATCTCCTTATTACTGGAGTTAGTGGATAATCTAACTTGGGCTGATTTATAAAAATTATCTAGACTGTATGTATATATATATATATATATATATATATATATATACAAATTTTTATCACAGATTAATTAGTCTCATAGACATTTTGGCAGCTGATGTTGAAAAGGACGTCAATTAATTGTTAACTGGTGTAAGAATTTGTTAGTTAAGCTTTCAGAGCTAAACAGACGACTTAGAGAATCTCTTTTGCTTTACATCAGTATGACTGATGCTAACCTCCAGGAGAATAACCCATTGCTCCTTCTTGGTATTAAGTTCTTCTATCATAAAAATTAAAAGGATTATCTAGGGTCAATTGCTAGGTCTGCCACCAAGAAATGTTATTAACGCAGCCATAGCTGATCTTAATGATTTTTGTGAATCTTTTTTAGTTTTGGTGAATGTTTAAAGTGCTTATGAATTAAATTTATGAAAATTCTTCCGATGTTCTTTTGAACATTACGGTTAGAAGGTGGATTAAACCATATGATGGTACGCTTAAGGTGTTTCTGTTTATTTTTGCCTTCTTAAGTTTTCTTTTTTTAAATACTCTAAATAATAGCTCCGTATACAATATTATCAGTCATGCATTGACCGTGTAAGGGACAGATCATACTTTTTCGGTATTTGCATTTACGGTTGCTTAATTCTAAAACTTTTATATATTTAATTTATCAAATATTTCTTATTGCTGGAGTTGGTAGATAATCTAACTTGGACTGATTTATGTAAATTATCTGAAATTTTGTGATGGTGGTGGTGTTGTTCTTGGTGGTGGTTTAATTCTTTACTGACGTGTTTAGGGTTATATAGATCTTTGTTATATAGTTTGTAGTAAGCATTATTCAAGTTTAAGGAATATGTTATCAATGTAGTGAACATATATAATGGCTGTGTCTATTGCATTGAATGTTTTATTTACAAGTTAGTCTATCTATCTATCAAACTATCTATCTATCTAAGTTTGTTTATATTTAGCTATCTATGTATCTTAGTCTGTTCATATCTATCATTGTCAGGCTGTTTATACCTATCTATCTATCTATCTATCTATCTATCTATGTCAGGTTGTTTACATCTATCTAGCAATCTGTCTATCTGTCTATGTATCTTACTCTGTTCATATCTATCTATGTCAGTCTATTTATATCTATCTATCTATGCCAGGCTGTTTATATCTATCTATCTATCTATCTATCTGTCT